TTCCCTAGGTATGCCTTTCCAATATCATCGTGTCTGTCTTTGCAGCCTCAAGACATACTTTATTACAAGTCTTTTCCTTTTTGCATCTTGTATATTACGACTATAAAGATTTTCTTGGTGGATACTGATAGTCAATTATTAATCAGCCAATGCCAATCTGATAACTGATTTACTTAGATTAAATTGGCGGGGCGGGAAGTGGAAAGGAGCCATGGGAAGCTCGTCTAGGGGGTGTGGGGTGGGGGATGGTTCTCCATTTCTGCATGCACCCTCTGGGGAAGACATGGGGGGTGATGTGCTCCCTCCCAGATTTGTGCATGGGGGGTGTGTGGGCTGCTTGCTGTGGGCTCGGGACTCTCTGCTCTACTGTCTTTCCCTTGGGAGCCCCACTCTGGCCATGTGCCTCTTGCCTGCCCAGCAGCAGGGGGGACAGCAAGTTGTGTCCTGCCAGGCGGGCAGGGAGTACGTGGCCAGTGTGGGGCTCCCAGGGCAAAGGCAACAGAGCAGAGAGCCTGAGCCCACAGCAAGCAGCCAGCATCTCCCCTTGCCCCACCTGTCTCTGCTCCACTCAAAAGCATCTCAGCACTTAGAAATGGTGGCAGCAGTGCTTAAACTAAAGCTCATTCGCTGTGGGCTCAGGGCTCTCTGCCCTGCTGCCTTTGCCCCAGGACCCGCACACTGGCCACACACCCCTTGCTTGCCCGGCAGTGTGGAGCACAACTTGCCACCCCTACCGCTGCCAGGCAGGCAGCAGGTATGCAGCTAACACGGGGCTCCCAAGGCAAAGGCAGCAGAGTGGAAAGCCCCCAGCCCAGTGAGCAGCCTGTATCTGCTCTGTGCATAAATCTGAGGGGCATGTGCCCCCACCATGCCTCTCAGGGGATGTGTGCAGTGGCGGGGAGCCACCTTCCTGCCTTGGCCCCTGGACATGCCGCCTGTGGCTCCATCCCACTCCCCGCCCCAGCCCCCATGCACTGTCTTGGCTGAGCAGCATGCCCCTTCCCACCCTCACGCCCCTTCCACTCCATAGATTTACCTGCAGGGAGCTGCTGTCCATGCTGCCTGGCCATGCACACGAACATGGCTCCCTCTGTATCTCACTCCTGTAGCCCCAAGCGGGACTTGCATGCTAGAATGATGCCTACCTGCAAGGGGAAATGCACTGTTTCCTGAGGGAACCCAGGCATCTGGGGGCCCCAGCCCTGTGGGGGAGAGGGAATGCGGGTGTCCAGGGTTTAATTAACAGTTAAACATTATCAGCTACAACAGCCAAAAACGCCAATAGCCAATAATGTATATTTCCCTTTTATCAATGTCGATCCAATAGGCAACCAATATATCAGTGCACCTCTAGTTACTACTGCCTTACTGTTTTTTTCCCTCCCCTTTATTCTATATAGTGTGCTTTTTAAAGTATGTAGCCTGGGAACTGAAAAGGCAATTAACTTACCTGAAGTTTGCACTCATCAGAACTTAATCAGTGCTCATTAAGTATACATCATTGTCTGTGCTGTGGCATTAGCTAGCCCCTGACTAGTTCCCCTCATTCTCAAGGCTTCTAGTATCAACCCTGATGGTGGCCATTAGGGATTTTGAAAATATGAGGAGCTAATCAGGTTCAAGACTGTTATAATCATAGTGTTGTTGGCAATATTAATTAAGAACACAGCACCATCAATCCTGTGGTATTAGCAGTCCCAAAACTGCTAGAATTCATGTAGCTGTTTTGAGACTGCTAATACCACAGCACGTGGTATTCTAATAGTCATGGCTTCTAATAGTCATTGTGATAGTATTTTCTTTAGCTGCCAGTTTATCCATCAACATTGAGTTTCTGCAGCTCTGATGAATCTCCCAACAGAACAACCAAAAGTATGAGTCTTACGTAAGATACCTAACTTTGGGCAGCCTTGAAATCTGTCCCTCTGCTTTCAGGCAAGAACAGGGTGAGAAGTGAGGATCAGTTCCTGGTGAGCACAGGGAGGAAGAGACCTGTAGTAATGCAAGGCTTCCCTGA